GATACTGTTTGCTTCTTGGTAAAGTATTCAAATTAAAAACCTAGAATGAGAGCTCAGATACTGTTGCTGTGATTTATGAAACTCTGAAAATAGTTTATTTACAGTTGCATGGCTTACCCAAAGTCCAGAAACTCAGGGAGGTGTACATACATAAGTGTGCATGTGCGTGTGTGCACACACATGCATGCATGCATTTGGATTCGGGGAGGAAGGTTTGCTAATGCAGAAAAATTACTACAGATTAAGTTCTCCTGCGACAAAAGTCACTTGTTAAGCTTCTTTAAGATTCTGTGTCATTGAGCACCGTTGCCTATTAAGAAGATCAATCCTATTCATAATGTCAGAATTCCCATGAAGACAGTATTTAAGCTGCCCGAAGGAAAACAGTCTCCTTCTTTCTTAGTGTTTATGTTTATGGAAATCTGTTATCTGTGTACTTTAAGTCACCATATAGAAACATTCCCATTTTATACTTTTTTGTGTATTTCAGGGTGTTGATGATGCCTTCTATACATTAGTTCGAGAAATTCGAAAACATAAAGAAAAGATGAGCAAAGACGGTAAAAAGAAGAAAAAGAAGTCAAAGACAAAGTGTATAATTATGTAAATACAATTTGTACTTTTTTCTTAAGGCATACTTAAGTAAAAGTGGTAATTTTTGTACATTACACTAAATTATTAGCTTTTGTTTTAGCATTACCTAATTCTTTTCCTGTTTCATGCAAACTGGTAGCTTTTATCTTAAATGCTTATTTTAAAATGACAGTGGAAACTTTTTTTTCCTCTAAGTGCCAGTATTCCCTGCATTTTGGTTTTTGAACTAGCAATGCCTGTGAAAAAGAAACTGAATACCTGAGATCTCTGTCTTGGGGTTTTTGGTGCATGCAAGTTGATTACTTCCTATTTTTCCTACCAATTGTGAATGTCGGTGTGAAACAGATTTATGAAGCTTTTGAATCATCTGTTTTATGTTTTATCTAGTCACATAAATGGATTAATTAGTAATTATAATTTCAGTTGAGACTTTATGATTAGTTTTACTGAAATATTGAGGGATCACAAATTCATAGGCTTCCTTTGCTTCATCTTCTAGACATCATGACCTATACTTTGTCATCCTTCATGAATGTAAAGTTACACTGTTCACCAAGGTTTTCTCCCCTTTCCACTGCTATTAGTCATGGTCATTCTTCCAAAAATACTATATTTTTTCTATAAAAAGGGAAAAATAGAAAAAAAAAAAAAGGTAATGGAAAATTTTAAAAGGCCATTGACTTTCCGTATTACATAAATTACTGTAAGATTCCTAGCTTTTCCTGCTACGGCAGATCCAGTATGCAATGGGGATTATACCAACCATTTTGGGACTATATTTACATGCTACTAAAATTTTATAATAGTTGAAACAGTTTTAATGTGCATAAAAATTCTATAGTAATTATAGTCTCCCTGTATTAGATTGCTTTCTTAGCACAAATTTAAGCCTCAGTTTTTGAAAATAGTTTCAGTTCTCAGTAGTGTTAGTGAAGATTATTTGAGCCAGTTATAGTTTAGTTAAGTGTTGCAAGGCCAGGCTCTCTGGGTACCTTTGAGCGTCACGGTTTCATAGCAGGGACTGCATTCCCAGTCATCCAGCATTGTCATGAATTGCTTGGTCAAAATGGGCATCAGGAGACAGTCTGGCTGGGTTGACACGGTACAGTCTCATTGTGCGGTAGTCTCTACTGACAAATCATGGCACTTTTTGCCCCAAAAAAACCCACTTTTGAAAAAATTACTTTTAAATATGAAAAGTTACAATTTGGGGATGGGAGGGCGCCAGAACTTTTTTTTTTAAAGCAGTGACTTGACAAAGTTTCAAACTAGGTTTGGCTAGTTCTCTTAACACTGGCTAAAGTAGCATTTCATGAATGCTTTTCAAGTCTGATCCACATTTAAGAACATCTGATGCTTTAAAAATAATAAACACAATTCTTTCAGTACATTTAAAGTGTTACTTAATTTGAAATATTTGAAGTGAGGTGGTGTGGTGAGGTGAAAATATCACTGGGCTGGGAGGAAGGTGACTTAGATTCTAGGTATGTGTCTTTTAAAACTCTGATTTTGGGCGAATCATTTACTATCCACTTAGTGTTAAATCATCTCAAAGTCCCTATCTAACTTTACAACTGTGTAGTTTACATTCAGTTTACATAAAGATACACCTGTTTGTCAAGCTCAGCATAATCTGCTGTACCTTTTTATCTGTATCATCACTGTCACTGCCAGTCTTGGGCAAAATTGTGCAAGAGGTGAAGTTTATATTGGACTATCCATTCTCCATTTTTAGTACTTCTTTCCCATATTAATGTCATCTTACTTGCTACCCTTCCACATGCCCCCATGATTCAATGCAGTTTTCTTTTAATAGTTTAATTCTCATAGCTTCATAATATATTGCTGCTGTGGAACCTCCATGAAGGCTGTCCATTAAGATTTATCAAAACTGCCCTATGTCGCACTTCCTTCGGGCAGTACCATAGTGGGATTGGACCTACTAGCTAGCTTTCAGGTGGCTGTCATGCCATTTAATCTTGGTCCTTCGCACGTCATCTCTTCACTGCCTAGTCCACTGGTGACTAAGTAGGAATTTTCAAACCTAGCATGAAATGACAACCTGCTGCAGGAGGAGAATGTAATAAAGGTAATGGGACTGGTCCTGGTAACAATGACACATTCCATTGTTTATTAACTGAAATCATCTTACAGTGAGTAGTACTTCAAAGTTTGATTCATAAGGCTTGCTTCTCAGTGAAATTCCTTCATGCAGTAAATATTTGTTCACTGCCTATCATATGCCAGCCACTAGACAAGGCACTGGGGACTTGCTAGCCTCAAAAAAGGGACATAATCTTTGTCCTGAAGTAGTGTTTTCTTTCATAGCTTAGTAGCACATTTGGCACATGACCCTCTTTGCAAAGAGAAGGTTTGGTGTCTAAGGGTTCTTCTAGTTCTACAGTAATTGTTTTTGCTGTGATTCCAGTGCAACTTTTTAATTGAACTACTCTATGTAGACCATTTTACTTCATTGTTTTAAAGGAGTAAAAATTCCCAAGGGTATAGTATTCTATTTTTCTCTCTGTATAAGTAATTAAAACAGACTTTTTAAAATTAAATATTATACTTTTATTCAGGTAAAAATAAACAGGTGACTGAGCTAACTCAAAGAGAAGGAAACCTCTGTAAAAATCAAGTATGACTTGTATGCTTCACTAAACCACAGATTGATGGAACATTGTCTAGATAGGGAGACTTATGCAGTACCTCCTCTAGTTTCTACATAGTGAAAGAGGTGGACGGGTGTATTTCAGGAACTGTTGTGCATAATGGGATATTTAGGACTCTGGAATTTTTTATGTAGCTGGGCAAATGTTTTTAAAGTAGCAGTAATTACCCTTTATTATGTGAATTCTGAATGGTTTAACAAAAGGTTTGTTTTTGTAGAGATTTTAAAAGGGGAGAGAATCCTAGAAATAAACATAAATGTTATCTAATTACTCAGCCTTAAAAGATAAAAGTCCTTGTTGAAGTTGAAAACAGCGCTAAATTACATAGTGTTAGGCATTAACATGTTTGTGGGAAGAATGTAGCAGCCATCTATAGCATAATTTGAATATTCTCAATTAGGAATTTTAGGCTCTATTAACTGAGTCACACTGCATAGGAACTGAGAACCTGACTCTTACAGGTTATCCTTCTGCCACCATTGCACAATTTTGTCCACACACCTACACACACGCGCGCGCTTTGTGAGGCATGTTAAGTTAGTTTGCACAAACTCATCTCATCTGTATTCTAGCGATTTTCTTTTCTTTAAGCATTTTTCCCAAACTATATTATACACATTTAGGGATGTTCTGGGGATAGACAATAAAAATTATGTGAAATCATTTCCATTTGTCAAAAAGTAGTACTTTCTTTTAAAAACCCACCAATTACTTTAAAAATGAATTTATATTTAGTAACTTCTGTGTTAATGTTGGGTAGCATGAGCTCTGCATTGAGAAATTGAATAGCATACAACCGGTAGCTCTAAAATCCTGTCCAGATGAAAATGTCTAAAGATACACTTCAGTTCTGGAGGAATAGTTATAACTAACTAGATTTAGGATTTGTGTTTTAGTTTAAAGTCTGAAATGCCTATCTGGGATAGTGATAGGCATTTTAGATGAATTTAGGAAAAACAGTTTATTTTCAAAATACATCAATTTCAGAGGGTCCATATCACCCCAATACAGCTAAATGGGTTACATAATGTTTTATCAGGAAGTTTCCAATTCCACTGTCTTGTGTTTTCATGTTGAAAATACTTTTGCATTTTTCCTTTGAGTGCCAATTTCTTACTAGTACTCTTTCTTAATGTAACATGTTTACCTGGAATGTATTTTAACTATTTTTGTATAGTGTAAACTGAAACATGCACATTTTGTACATTGTGCTTTTTTGTGGGACATATGCAGTGTGATCCAGTTGTTTTTCCATCATTTGGTTGCGCTGACCTAGGAATGTTGGTCATGTCAAACATTAAATTTAAAGATGACCACTCTTTTAATTAAAATTAACTTTTAAATGTTTATAGGAGTATGTGCTGTGAAGTGATACGAAATTTGTAATATTTTTGTCATGAACTGTACCACTCCTATCGTAATGTAATAAAAAATAGTTATGGTGACTATGATAGTGTGTATTTGTTTTCTTCTTTAATCTTTTTTTTCCACTTAAAGTGCTGAAGGGTGAACCTAGGGCCTTAAATATATTAGGCAAATGCTTCACCACTAAGCTATACCCTTGGCCTAGATAATACATATTTCTTGATGGAAATTTAGAACATTTGCCCCACAACTGACATGGAACACTTTATAACCCACAGACACCAAGGTAAGAATACCAGTGAATCTTAAAAAGTAGCTCTAAAGTTAGACATATTCTTTATTTTTAAAAGGCACTAAGAATATTATATATAGGTTTTAAGTGTTTATTTAAACTTAAAATCATGTTAGGGTTCCGTCCACTGCCACGTTAACCCACTTAAAAGTAGATGCAAAACAAACTGCTTTTATGACAATAAAAGTAAAGTAACATTTATTACATTTTATGAAAGAAGACAACTGATACACAGCTGGTTATCTAAGACCCAGAGGGAGCCAGCAGTAAAATTAGTGGAAATAACTGAAGTTATGTAATGCTAGTCATTGGCAGGCTTTTAAGGTCTGACATAATCTTCATATTATTTCTAGAATTGCATTTAAATCATTACTAAGGTCTGTTTGGTTTGGTAACAGACCTTGAATACTGGCCTCAGTGTACCAAATTGGGTCAAAAATAAAAGTTCTTCAAATGTTAAGAGCAATAAATGTATGAGAAATTATTTTGCTTGAGTGGTGTTCTTTCATCAGTAAAATGAAGAATTAAATGTATTATATTGAATACTCATTTACAATTGGTAACATAGCTATTTTAGTAATAAGAATTCACCACAGAGTTGTGGACAAAGCTCTTAGTATCAGTAAACATCAAAAGTTACTTTAGATCAGCAAAGCAGCTCAGGTTTTCTTTTTTACATAGGTGTTGCCATTTTTAAGGTTTATTTCACAGTGTGTGGTATATACAAACAGCTGGCACTGATTTTCAGCTGATCTAAAGTAATGATCAGTTAGTTTTGTTGATATCTGAATAATAGCGTTGTTTCATAGCTCTGTATTTCCTAAGGAAGTATAAAGCTTCTAGCTCTTTCATTACAAATTTGCCTCGTTCAATAAGTTCTTTGATCTTCTCTGGGTCCTTCACATCCTTGTTTTTAAGGAAAACATTCTTCAAACGCCTTTTAAAATAGTCTGCTCCTTTTGGATAGTCCCGTCCAAGATACAGCAGCTTAAAAAAGAAAGATTATATATATGGAAATAATCCATGTCATACGACACTCATGAAATTGGCAACATAATTACTTACATTTTTATAAAGATTCAATACTTCTCCTCTTAATGAGTTGGCCATTTTCATTTATCATGGAAATTAATCCACTTTTGTAAATAACACATCTGAAGAAAAGGAAAAAAAGGCTATTTTACAAGTACTCCATTGTAATCTTAAAGAGTCAAAGAAAAAAGGACCTTTGACACTCGGAAAATCGTAACTGCTTTTTTATAGTTGATAAATATTGAGCACTTTTATGTTTTGGGTATTGGGATAAGCTATAAACATACTGGGTTAAGATAACCTGTTCTTACAGAACTACCTTCTTCTAAGAGAAACAACAAGCACACAAGGGAAGTATGAACTGTGACAAGCCCTCTGAAGGAGCCGGTATGTGAGGAAAGAGATTATAGTAGCTATGTAGGTGGACCTCCTTTCGTGCCAGCGGAATGAGCTAGAACTGGATTGGGATCCCAGCTGCATAACGTGTTGTACAGTTTACTGAATCTTTCTGAGTTGCAGTTTCCTTATCATCAAAAAGAAAAATGTCTTTACTTTGCCCTCAAGTCAAGGCTGGGTGTACTTAAAAGTCCTGATCAAATCTACCAGGACTTTTACAGAGGAAGGCTAGAAGAAACTATCCTAGGCTAGAAGAAACAGGGTCGACTCAAGCAGGCTGGTAATCCGTGGCGATGGGCTCTGACTTCTGGTGAAATGGGCAACCTACAAGGGCGTCTGTGAGGAGCCTCCAGTGACGGCAATTGCGGTTCTGTATGTGTAATTTGTTCCTTCTGTTAGACCAAAGGCACCATTACAGCCTAAACCTAGAAAACAATTCCTACTACATGATTTAACTCATAAGAACTCTACCATTGTGTCCTGTTGGGCAGACACAGTTCCCTTGGGTTCCACTGCCTGATGAAAGGATGTTTGCCAAGATTCACCACTGTAAAATTATTTCTCCAAGGTGCTTTTGGCAGTGAGTGGAAAGTACTACTTAGAAGGAATTTATTAAGAATCAAGATCTGGGTGCTAGAAGTGCCCATTCTTACTAGGTTGTCTGGACCTCTTAAGTGACAGAGTTACAAATGATACACATGTAGATGTGAGAAGCTGATGTGTGTGTATCTACATTCTCTGTAAATCAGTAACCTTCAATTCCCACTCTACAGGGTTTCTTCTCAATTTTATTTTTATCTACCGGTCACAGCTCTCATCCAACAACGAGAAATCTGGTTCCCACTATCCTCAATTTACCTTTTGGATCATCACTCCCCTTCCCACTATATAACGAAGTTCCCGTCACTGTCACCACAGCACACTACTCTGGGCTCTGCCACCAAGTGCCAGAAGGCGCTGAGCACCCCCGACACACCCTATTCCCCCACCTCCTCTGGCTCAGACAACTTAGCTGTTCCACATCCCCCTCTGGAAGTCTCTCCCTGTTCCACCCCAGCAACCTGGGCCTTCCCTCTTCACTCCTGTTGTGCTCCCACACCCTTGCTGGGCTACCGCCCTACCTTAATCCCTTGCTCAGCCCCACCCACAGCTTTTGGATGCAAGTATCTGGAAGGTCACACAAGAAGCCAAACTAGCATTTTTAGATCAGTTTTAAGGGTTACTTTATAGTTAAATGCAGATAAAAATCGTAGCATCATATCCAATTAAAACTCACTGCTGAATAAATCTCCCTGATATTTTTATGTTGGTTCAGTCCTAAAGGATAACGTACATTCTCATGACTTTACCTGCCCCCTCCTTTAGACCTTGTGGCAGAATTTTCATCTTCCACAATCTGAGAGGCAAGTACCAAAGTTCTCCTGTATTTAATGTCAGCTGTTAAAATGATACGTATTAGGCATAAGAAAAAATAGTATTAAAATATGTATGTGCAAGTTAATGTTAAACATACATCCGGGTACCCATCATTCAAGCTATGAAATTGATAATTACGGTCTTGGAAGCCCTCTTATACCCCTCTCCAATTCTATTTTCTTGCCATCTCTACCAAGATAATGACTTCCTAGTTACTCTTCAGTTTGCCCCCCTAAGAACACTGCCCCAAACAATATATTTGGCTTTGACAACCTGAGCAGCAAGTGTGAATGTAAGGAAAGGTACAATACTTCTGCTTGCGGGAAAATAATTCTAAACGAAAACCAAGTAGTCCTAGATTGGTTCTTTCTTCCCCAGGATTTACAGGTTCCCTCAAGTTAGCTGGCAACATCAAGGGTGAATCTTCAGCTCTCCACAACTGAAGCATGTGCAGTCAGGTGCAGAACTTAGACCTGATTTCCAGCCACTAGTGAAACAGGGAGGAGAAGATTCTCTTTTCTGTGTTAAGCTCCCCAATACGCCAATGGTTAACAATTCATGTTACAAGAACAAGCGACTCTCTTCGCATCAGTCCGATCTCAGTTATTTTTGTCTTTGTTTCCAGGGCTACTGCTTTGTGCTTCCTAGCAGTCCTAGTCATAGCACCACTGCTTTTCCTGCTTCCGGCCATCCTGGGCTCTGATTGAACTCTGTACCCCTGTACACTATCACACTATACATAAGCACACAGCAGCCAGGCGTGGTGGCGCACACCTGTAATCCCAGCACTCAGGAGGCTGAAGCAGGAGGATCATTAGGAGTTCAAGGTCAGCATAGGCTACAAAGTGAGCTCAAGACGAGCCTGAACTGCATAGCAAGACCTTGCCTCAAAAAGACAAATAAATAAATGAATAAGTAAATAAGTACAGAGCAGCACCACTGTGACACTGTCTGGCAGACACGTGAGCTACTTCTGCAATTTGTTCGCATCTGCGAAGTTTCCTAATGTGAGGTCCGTTCATATGCGTGAAGGCTGACGACTCGAACCTTCGGCAGTCAGGGGCTGATGGTACATGGTTTAGGCATAGAGTGTCAGCTGCACTTAGCTCAGTGATGGCGAACCTTTTAGAGACAGAGTGCCCACACTGCATTTATTTATCATGAAGTGCCAACACTGCACTTAAACTCGAGGTTTTAGTTCAGGAAAAACAGCTCATACATTAACATCTGAAGAGAATACACATGTGCCACGCCTAGGTTCACCACCATGGACTTAGGTTGTTCTGAGTGGGCCTTTCCCTGAGGGACCTCTGACATCAGCATCTTGGATTGTTCCTCTTGGGCTGGTCAGTTTCCCGGAGCAGTCTACCATTCTGAGGATTTGCCTATTAAACATTAAAAAGTAAGGAAAGAACGGGGGCTTTGCGTTCAGCATTGTGTATACCTAAACTCACTTGTTTCTCCCGTACTTTGGTATAGCCCAAGAATGCCCTAGCACTACTTTGTCCGGAAATAAAACTACTCCAGGCTTCCATAGGAGTGAGGGGTACAGTTACTTCAGGTGTTTCTCGAATAGCTTTCACTTCGTCTTCGCATTTCCAATTCCAGGGCCCCTGATCCAGCGCCATCTGAGAATTCACAGAGTAAACTGGCCTCTCCTGGTTGCTGAGTCACATTCATTCATCTCCTTTCCAGTTTCTGAAGTTTTATTGCTGTCATCACCTTTCCCATTTTTCCATTTTATTTTTATCCCTTTAGGAAGATTTAGTGGAATTCTGGAAGGGAGTAAAATTAGATGGGTATGTTTAACCCACTATATTAGTAACCGCAGTATTTCATTCAGAAAAAGTTTTGTGGCAGTCACTGCAGTGTTTATTTTTATAGAATGACTGCTCACAACCATGTGGTTTGTAAATAATGAAAAAAATAAATTTACATAGTGCTACCGTTGCTCAATGCCTGTCAAAGAGCATAGCTTCATATAATTCAAAATACATCACTGTTGAAGCATTTGGGGCAATCAGGCTAAAGTGTACCTTTAAGCTGTTGAGGGTTTTGTCTGTCTGTGACAAACAAAAAGAGTGACATACACTCCGTATCTCAGGCTGGCCTGAACTCACAATTCCCTTGCCTCAGCTTCCTGAGTGTAAAGATTACAGGCATGGGCCATACTTGGCTAGTTGTTGGCGTTTACACGAATTTTTTATGGATAATAAAAGATTTACCTAGCAAAAATATAGCTAGTGTGGCCACAGTAAACTTGTCTAATTCTTTGAGGCTGATTTATGTGAATTAAAGCAGTTTCTTATGGTACAGTTAACCCTTAGACATTTAGATTTATTTTAGTCAATGGGAAAAATAGGTCTACTTAGATTTTAGGAAACAATTTAAATCTAGCAGGGACTTAGTCTGCTGATCAACCCCCATGAAGTCATGGAAGCCAGGTTAAGGTCTAAAACTCCCCCATTTTTCTGAGAACTTGGAAGTGTGTGGTAGACGAGGAGATGCAATCCCCATTAATTTTTTTTTTCCAGTGATTTAAAATTGATGGGATAAGACTTTACCAGCTCCAGTCCTTGGCTAACACAGAATTGTCACTGTACCAGAAGCTACAGTGATCAAAGTTAATTCACCTGAAGTTCAGATGACAATAAAAAGCTAAGGAAATACTGCCCAAGAAAGGCCGTACCTCATTCTTTTCATTAAGTTCTAAAGGACTTGTTCAAACAGATGAAGCACTATCTCCTCAAACTAGTTAAGACTAGAAAGCTTCACACACTGGTAGGTAAATAATTGGAGACACAGGTAGCAAGAAAGTTTCCTGGTAAAGGCTGGGATATAGCTTAGTCTAGAAGGCACACACAAGTGAGGTAAAAGAGGTGGACAAGTATTGGTAGAAGGGGCAGGTACTACACCCATCCAGAGGTAACTTGACATTAGGAAACAGGCCTTAGAATTTATGAAGCCCAAACAGGAAGTACCACAGGACAACAGTGCTTACTGCTGTAATCCCTTCTAGCATAGTGACTGGTAGAACATAATTCAGCATTTCAGAATGTAACATATCCACGGCTAGGCTCAGTGGCATAGCCTGGAAAGTGCAAGGTCCTGAGTTCAACTTCAGGTACCAAAAAAAAGAGAATTTAACACATCCATGTAAGTCCCCTCCCTCCCAGGAGGGACAGTCATAGTATGAGAATTTGAGTCCTCTCCCCTGGGGATTCACGGTCTTGAGGTTAACTTGGGTAATTTAAAGTACTTAGGCTTCCTAATAGCCAGCAATCCTAGGTAAGGGTTGACTGAAGTTGTGTATCATGAAACAGGAGTTTCACTGACAAATTAATTTAAAACAAAAGCTTACCTCCATATAAAATAACTATGGTAAGCTGTGCTAGAATTCTATATGAAACTAACAGTAAGGTAGTTAGTTATGAAACTACGAAGATCTGGAGGGAGGTGCAATGTCAACTATTACACAACCAAGATTTTTTAAATGGGGATAATAACACTTTTACACATAAAGACCAGCTCCATCAGTATTGCTTATATCTCAATAAATCTTGTAAACGACGCTGGAAGGGTCAGAGCACTACAGAGCGAGAATCCAAAGATGATAAACAGTGGCAGGAACTTCTGTGGACTTCGTGCTAGAACAGGGTTTAGACAGGTCCTAAAGGCCTAAGAGAATTCAGCTGGGCTTTGGCAACAGAACAGCCTTGCTTAATCTGTCCTAGCTTTGCGGTTGGTCTTAGGTGCCAGTGCTTCTTCCCGTGGGGAGGAGACTGAACTGCTGGAGGTTGTGCAATTAGTCTGTGACCTTGGACAAACAGTTGAGTGAGTTTTGCTGGGCCTCAGCAGTCTGCACCTGTCAGGAATGCTCTGACCAGGAACTGCTTCAGCACATTTCCCGTTGTTGTTGAGGGCTGCCCGTGGGGAAAATATCGTGAGTTTTGCACAAGGATCTTGGCTACTGTGTGTTCAAAGTAACCAACCCTGGCGGAGCCAATCTGTGTCTGTCTCCATTCCCAATAGAGCCCCCCGTGTGCGGTGGCCTCTGCTGCAGTGGCCTCAGCTGCGGTGGCCTTTGCTGCAGTGGCCTCAGCTGCAGTGGCCTCAGCTGCAGTGGCCGTCGCCTGCCCTAACCGCCTTCCTGCTCCCCTGCCTTCTCCAGCACCCTCCCGGAAACACTCGCCCTGACACCCCTCAGGAAGACAAGGAGACGCTCAGAAACCCCTTCCAACACCCAGCAGTCCTCTCCCAGAGCATACTTCACCGCCTCCAGATCCCAGGACCCGGAAAACAACACCCAAGCGCGTTCCCGCGCGCCGCAGCTGGACAAGCCTCCGACCGCCTCCTCCTCACCGGCCCAGCGGAGAAGCCCCAGTGCGACTGCGCGGCCGGAGTGGGCGGGCCTGCGCCTGCACGTCGAGGCTGGGTGGGCGTGGCCTGTCGTCCTGACAACCCGGGTGCGTTGTGTCCACACAACAGAGCTCCGACTTGGCGGTGTGTGAAGGTCGCGCTTTTGCCTCCTCATGGTGAGCGGGGAAGATGAAAAAGACTGGTGAAGAGGCGCGAATTAATTCTGCTTCCCCGGTGTTGAAGGATATGATAAGAGTCTTTCGTATTGTACAGGGGATCTGTTTAGGAAAAACCTCCTAACTCAGTTTCTGGAGACTGGAGGTGGTCAGAAAGGTGACACGGTATCCTAAACCCCCTGACCGTAAACGTGGTCTCAAGTCAGTAACTTCTGGGGGCGGGGGTGTTTTTTGTTTTGAACCAGGAATCGAACCCAGGACCTTGCACTTGCCAGGCAAGCACCGTGCCACTGAACTGTGTCCCCGGTCCCCATAATTTCTCCTAATGATAGATGATCCCACTCAACTGCTCTTATTGCAACTTGGAGAAGATGTTTTATACCTCCTTGGTAGTTAACTCAAAATAGATATAACTTTCTCTGCTTTAAAAAGTTACTTGGTGTGGTCTTTTGTAGGAATGTGAATTGTTTTGTGATTCAAAGTACTCAGTCTGCATTAAATGTGATAAAGCTTCTTGTTTTGCTTTTCTGCCCTAAGCTATCACGTCTTCACGGCGAGAAACCAACATGTTGCTTGAGATGATCTCTTTTCCCGTTTTCTTAAATGTGATTTTCATCAAGAGATCTTTATGATTAAAATCACAGGCAGTGGAAAATGTAATTACTCATTCAGTTATTTGATGGGTAATGAAGGGACGGTATGGAAGGCATTCTTCGTGTTTGGTGCTGGGCTGGAAGCTGGAGATACAAAGGTGAATGTGACAGTCGTGCTGTGGGAGGTTAAACGAATTCACTGCAGTATGCTTTTATAACTGTAACAATTGAAGGATCTAAGGTGAGGTCACCCAATGTTGGAAATGATTAAATTAGAAGGAAGACAGAAGAAATGGTGCTTTGCAACTCTTTTGAAATATAAATATGAGCTTACCACAAATGGTGGGAATAGTGGTGTGTATTCCTGGCAGAATGCAAATGGAGCTTAAACCAATTTAAAACTACTGGCAAATTATGAGAATAAGCACCTCCTTGCACTTTGAACGTGGACTTGAGTTTCTTCTTTCTCGATCCGTCTAGACATGTTCTCTAGCTGTGGCCCATGGAACCTCCATGCCACACTTGGAGTACTTGTTAAAGCTGCAGATTCCAGGAGCTCAGCTCCAGATCTGTTTATTGTATCGGTTTTCTGGGGCTGACAAGTAACCAAGTACCACAATAGAAATGCATTGTCTCACCGTTCTAGAGTCGGAACTTGTAGTGATCGTACTGTCTCAGCCTCCCGCATGAGGGGGTTACAGGTGTGTGCTACTGTGCACAGTTCTTTGGGAACCTTTTAAACTAGTTCTTTTTTGGCCGACATTATTTAGTGACAGGGCATTTCATTAAATATAGATCTTTGATTGATTGTCATAAGAAACCGTGTGAAATTTGCTTTCAAAGATACTTCAGTGGATGAACTTTTACCTTAGCTTTTTCTATATGTACTTATAGTTTTGTCTGAATTCTTTTTTAAACAGCTTTTTAAATTTAGGGTTACTTTGGACTTACAGAAAAATTTCAAAGATGGTACCGAGGGTTCTTTTATGCCTTTTACCTAGCTTCTCCTGACTTTTAACATTTATATAATCATTGTACTTTTGGTAAAAGTGTCTGAATTCTTTTTAAAATTTATCAATTTTCCCCCCCAATTTTTAGGGTCCCAAAGAAAAAAAGGTATGTATAAATTATTTTCTCAAAATAGTTTTATGAACACCTTGTATAAACAGAATTGTCAGGGAATTTTAAAATAATTTTCTAGTTCGTTTGAGTTTACTAAATTTACTTTTTAGACATTAATGCTACTTAAATCATAGGATAATCCTTCACAACTACGGAAATATTTCAAATTTGACATATTTCAAGTTACACAAAAACACTTAAATATAACTGTTAATTTTTTTAGGTTTATTGGTATATTTTAGAAATACATAATGATCATATTCATTATAGGGAATTTGTACCTGTACATGATATACTTTTATTTCTCTGTTTTTCCAAATCCTTTCTCCCTTCAACCCATCTTCCCCTCCCTATTTACAAGGCTTTATTTCCATTTTATCCTTTTCTTTTAAAGGAAGGAAGAGAAAAGAAAAAAAATTGATTTTTTTTAAAAGCCATTAAGTTTTACCTGTATCTATATTTGAGGGTTTTTGTTATTTCTGCTATATTAAATCTTGGGTTAGGAACACTTTTTTTGTTTCCAAATAAACAAAAAATTTACCTAGAAAACCTGCTATGACTTAAAAACTGAACCCTAAATTAATATGACTTACTGTGTAAAACTTTTAGTTCTATAAAGGATGTGTTTATTCTATATATTTTGAATGCCCTTTTCTCATCTTCATTTTATACATTATGTATATTTGTCTTTTTGTGATAGGGTCTCACTATGCAGTTCAGGCTGGGCTTGAGCTCACTTTGTAGACCAGGCTGGTGTCAAACTTCCTGTGATCCTCTTGCCTCAGCCTCCCGAGTGCTGGGATTACAGGCATGCACTGCCATGCCCAGACTGTAGATTTATATTTTAAAGTAGAGTTTATAATCTTTTGACTAGTGGGCCAGGTTGCACCAACATATTTTGCTTGCTTGGAAGAGATTTCTTCCTTCTTTGTAAAACTCAGTTGCAGCCGGGCGTGGTGGCGCACACCTGTAACCCCAGCACTGGGGAGGCTGAGGCAGGAGGATTGTTGCGAGTTCGAGGCCAGCCTGGGCTACAAAGTGAACTCAAAGCTAACCCTGTCTCAAAAAAAAAAAAAAAAAAAAAAAGGCAAGAAATTTTAATAACATTTTTTCTTGTAGTCCTAGAAGGCAGCAGTTGGTTGGGCTCAGCAGCAGCTACCCCAAAAAAGTCTTCTGTTTGTCAGTGTTCTGACCATGATCAAACCCCATGCTGTACTTCCCTACCTAGTTCAAACGTGAACTTAGGCTTGGAGTGAGTCATTTAAGGCATATCTCAAAGGCCATTTCTCTGTAAAATTGTCCAGCACTGTCTCTTGCAAAATCAATTATAGTCAGCTTCTAAATCCATAAATTCTACACCCATGAACTCAACCAACCACAGATTAAAAAAATCTATTTTTAAAAAAATTATAACTATAAATAGCATTGTATACTGTATGTGTTAAAAGCTAGAAGAAAGGATGTTGAATATTTTCACCATGAAGACATGATAAGTGTTTTGGGAAAAACTGTCTTCACTGACTAAACATGTACGAGCTTTATTTCTTGCCACTATTGTCTAAAAAACATGGTTTAACAACTATTTGCATAGCATTTACATTTTATTAGATATTTTAAGTGACATAGCAATGACCTACAGTATACGAGAGGGTGGGTGTAGGTTCTATGGAAATTCTGTGCCAATTTCCCTAAGGGGCTTGAGCGTCTGTGGATTTTGATAGCCGTAGGGTCCTCATGCCCATACCAAGGGGCAACTGCACACTCAATTCTCATGTATTTATATCTGCGAGCTCTTCAAGCTCAATAGCATGCCATTTATTTTTACAGCCGTAGCATTTCACACAGTGCCTGGCACATAGTAGAAATTCAGTCAATATTTGTTGAATAAATATGTGAAACTCCATGTAATCCACCGATGCTTAAAACATATGGCTCTTGACTCCTTAAAAGAAATGCTTCCATAAATGTGTATTTCAGTATTTATACAATTAAATATTTGCTCAAGGAGTTCTGTTGTGTGCCTTCCATGTTTGCTTTATCAGTCACTTGTACCCACTACTAACCTGATACTCTTAGAGGCTGTGAATATAACTCAAAAAAATTTAGGAAGGCTCTGGAAACATTCTTAAGGGAGGAGCGTTCTGGAGGGCCCTGTGTGTCATTCATTGGTTTACACAGACATACATTTATTTACATATTTAGTGTTTTTTTGAGAGAGGGTCTGGCCTCAGACAGCAATCCCCTTGTGTCAGCCTCCCGGGTCCTGGGATTATTTATAGGGATGCACCACTAAGCAGATAGTACTTCATAGCCTAGTATTCCACCCAGTCTATAGTCAAATTTTATGTTATGTATGCTTTCCTACAATAAGAAGCCAAGCTATAACTGTATACATTTACTTGAAGCTTTTTGTTTGTTTTGTTTATTTTGCATTATTAGGGATTGAACCTGGACTTTTGCACTGAGCTACACCCCCAGCCTGTTTTAATTTTTTTAAATTTTATGACAGGGTCTCACTAAGTCACTCAGTTGCCTAGGCTGGTCTTAAATTTGCACTCTGCCTGCCTCAGCCTCCCAGAGTGCTGGATTACAGTAATGTGCTGTCATGCCTTGCTAAATGTGTGTAAAATGCAAAACCAAAAAACTATATTATTTAGGGCTACGTAAGACAACTATCAAGAAAAATAAGAAAATCATCATAATTATTTTTAGGTACAATATTTAAATTGATACATAATTGTATATATTTGCACTATAGTGTGATATTTTGAGACATGGACACAATGTGTAATGATCACATCAGGATAACTAGCACGTGGATCACCTCAAAAATTATTTTGTCATTCGTTTGTATTGGAAACACTTAAGGTCCTCTTTTCTTGAAATATTGGCTGTGGTCTTCCTTCTGTGCTGTAGAACACTAGAACTTTCTTCTCCTATCTGATTGTAACTTTGTACCTATTAGCCAACCAGTCTTTTTGCTTGTTTGTTTGTTTGTTTGTTTGTTTGTTTTATCTTTTTGAAACATGGTCTCACTATGCAGTTCAGGCTGGCCTTCAGCTTACTTTGTAGCCCAGGCTAGTCTCAAACTCACAGTGATCCTCCTACCTCAGCCTCCTGAGTGCTGGGATTACAGGCATGCACCACCACACCTGGCCTGATTTTTTGTTTCTTGAGCCAAAGTCTCACCATGTAGTTCAGGCTGGGCCTGAACTCACTATGTAGTGTAGGCTGGCCTCGAACTCATGGTGATCCTCCTGCATCAGCCTCCCAAGTGCTTGGACTCCAGACATGCACCATCACACCTAGACTACCCAGCTACTCTTAGCTACTCTTTATCTCTCTCTCTCCTGCTTATACTTCCTAGCCTCTAGCAACCATGCTATACTTCATACATATGCAAGATTAACTTCTTTAGCTTCCACCTGTAAATGAAATCATACAGTGTTTGTCTTCCTGTACTTGGCTAATTTGATTTAATATTATGCCCTCATGGCTCATTGATGTTGTTGCAAAAGCAGGATTCCATTTTTTATGATTGAATAATATTCTACTGCATATTATTTTATCTATTCATCCATTGACAGACAGTAGATTGATTCCATGTCATGGCTATTATAAATAGTGTTGTAATAACTATGAGAGTGCAGATGTCTCTTGGACAAAATGATTTCTTTTCTTTCAGCTGTATACCCAGTAGTCAGACTGCTGTGTTATATGACAGTTGTTATTATTATCATTATTTCGTTTGTTGAGCAGTCTCCATATTATTTCTCACAGTGGCTGCGCTGGTAACATTCCCACTGTATTAGCTTTCCCATTGCTGGGAAAAACTGAAAACTAGAACTTAAAGAAGGAAAGGTGGTTTTTGGCTCAGTTTACGAGGGTTCAGTCCATGGTGGTCCAAGGCAGGAAAGGCATGGTAAAGGGCACAGCAGAGGAAGACTGCCGAACCCATGGCAACAAGGCAGTGGAGCACAGGGACGAGTGCAAGCAGGAGACATCCCTCCAAAGGCACATCCCCAGGGATCCACATCCTCCAGCTGGGTCCTGCCTCCTGGCAGCACAGTCAGTGATGAACAGGAATGAATTCACCCACTGGTGGGTACAGCATTCCCGTGATCCAGGCATTTCTCAAGCAGTCACTTACTCGAATCAGATTAACACTCAACAGGCACGCCACCAGCAGGGTTCAGGCCCTCCCCTCCTTCACATCCTCCTCAGCATTTGGCATTTTTGTCTTTAATCACAGCCATCCTGCCTGGGGTGAGAGATCTCATTTAGGTTTTGATCTGCACTTCTCCTGGATTAATGCTGTTGAATATTTTTTGTGTGCTTGTGGGCCACTTGTATTTCTCCTTTTGAAAAGTGACTTTTCAGAACATTTGTCCAGTTTCAAGTCAGATTTTGAACCTGTTCATCTCTCAGCTGCATTTGTGTTTTACTCGTTGAATTTTTCAGCTCCAAGATTTCTGTTTGGTTGTGTTCTTTACGACATCTGTGTCTCTGCTGGATTTTCATTCACATCGTGAATTACCTCCCTGATATTAAATTGTCTGTCTTGCAGTTTCTTATATCTTGCTGGTTTTCTTTAAGATGGTTATTTTGAACTCTTTGGGGGGCATTTCAGAGATTTAGTATTGTTGTTTTTTGTTTTGTTTTTTTCTTCTTTTTTCATTAATTTTAGTTGGGATCTGCTACTAGAAGGTTATTGAATTAGTTTGGAGATGTTACATTTCCTTGCTTTTTTATGTTTTACATCAATATCTGTACAAAATGCTCACCTCTTCTGATTTTATAGTTATTTTAGGGAAAAACATGTTCCTGTGGGGGGTCCCAAGGTATTGGTTAAGTAGGGTGTCTTGGGCTTGGTGCTGGGTGGACACACAAGTGAGGTTTCCATGTGAGTCCTTCAGGTATAATACCACCAGTGTTCAACCGTGTACAAGTGCCTTGGTGGTCTCGTCTGCAGGCGTTTTGCTGGAGTCAGGAGTCTTAGGTCCTCAGGGTGTGGGAGGGACACACCAAGCTGACAGCAGCATTAGGCATGTGGGTGGAGGCTGCTCTGGAGTCTGGTCCTCAGGCTCTAGGGGGCATATGCCAAGCATTCAGTGGCTCTACCAGGCCTACATAATTTATGATAACTCAATACATTTTTGGCATATGACATGGAAGGAGTTAAAAACTGAATTATGTTGCTGTAAACTATTCCTGTTGACTTTGTAATATAAAGCAGATTTCTTATTCCTTATGCTTTTAAAAATTAAAACAATCTGAATCTTTTTCATTTAGTAACAGGTAAAGCTAACCATGGGAAAGAAGAACCCCAACTAATTCCATTAAAAGATATATATCCAAGCCAAGCCAGGTGTGGTGGTGCATGCTTGTAATGCCATCACTCAGGAGGCTGAGGCAGGAAGATTGTTGCAAGTTCAAGACCAGCCTGGGCTACAAAGTGAGCTCAAGGCCAGCCTGAACTGCGTAACGAGACCCTGTCTCAAAAAAAAGAAAAAAAGATGTATATCTAGGAAAAATTTACTTTTATGTTTAATATTCAATTATAATTTATGTTATACTGCTTTGGTGTATATTGAAAATTATATAAAATTAAGTCAATCCAGGGAAAAATTAAAATACTTAGAGAAAAGGGAAATAAATGTTTTAAGCTCTCATACATATTCTTGTAGCAAATAAACATGAACAGAAACTCAACAAAAGTTTTCAAGTGGATTACCTTAGGGTTATATTCTGTGAGGAAGGTAGAATGGAACTATAATTCCAAAGAGAACAAGAACTAAATTTTTTTATTAAAGATAAGCTTGTCATCTTTTTAAGATTGGTGGTATTGTTCATTAAATTGCTCTGGTATGTAGTTTCCATAAGACTTATTTTAGGTAGTCATGGATTTAATTAATAGTGCTAGAAAAGTTTCCATTTATAGATCCTATACTCGAAAGTGTATTTTCAGCTCCTTAAGCTTGTGATGAAAAGTTTTCAGTGCCAAGTTAAAATGTGTGAAGAAACACATGGGGAGTATGTGAACAAATACTGTAATTTTACAAGTTATGGATTAGCTACAGCTGAGCAGGAAAAGCCAGCAGCAAAGGAGTCTGGGAAGGAGGGTGTGGAGAAGCATAATCAGACAGTGGTAACGTAAATGCTTAATAATGTATATCAAGGGAAAAACTCAGCTTTGCCAAAAGATGGTTTTCTATGAATAAAAGGAGACCTGATAGTTTGACATTAAAATCATGGCCACCTTAAAATTACTTGACAAGAAGTTTTATTTGAGCAACAGAAATTATCTATCAGGCCAGGCGTGGTGGCGCACGCCTGTAATCCCAGCACTTAGGAGGCTGAGGCAGGAGGATTGTTGAGAGTTTGAGGCCAACCTGGGCTAGAAAGTGAGCTCAAGGAGAGCCTGAACTGCATAGTGAGACCCTGTCTCAAACAAACAAATTATCTATCAGCATTTCCTACAAATTATATGTAAATTTCTCTTGATTCCTTTTTCAAACATTCTTGCTCTAGGATTCCATTGTTTCTTTTCAGACGCCCCTCTGATTCCTTCCTCTTCTTTCCTCCCATGTTAATTATTAAAAGGTTAGCTTATACATTTCTGATTTCCCCTGCCAAGATTTTAGTCTATGAACTCTTGTTAATAGGTGCCAACATGATACCATCTTTATATTTCTCCCACATGAGGTTAGTTTTCAAAACTCATATTCTTAGGAGCTGCAGCCCTTCTCAAAACACTTAGGAGTTCTTCATTTCTCTTAGAACAATGTCCAAATTTTCAGCATGAGCTCGATCTTTCTTTGCTATTTGCCTTTCCTCCATCATCTTTTCCAGGAGTGCTAGAGCCCACTGAATTTGTTAGCTAATCCAGTGTTTTTCCAACTCTGTATCTTGCAGCTGCATTTCTCTTTTCTTGGGATGTCTTCCCCTGAGTGCTAAAATCCTTTGAGCGTGAAATTAAATACCACTTTCTCTACAAACGTCGTACTTGAGCTCTGTTACTAAAAACAATCCTCCTAGCAAAATAACTGTTATCTACTAGTCAAAAATACTTCTTTTTTAAGTAGATGTACAGTTTTCAAACTGTTTTTAATGTACACTTTACTTTATTCCTTGTAACAACAAGATGAGATTTGCTTTTTAAAGATGTGAAAACTGGTCATGAAAGCATGATTTAAATTGCATATACTTGACATTTTTTCGTTGCTGGGACAAAATTCCTCACACTCACAACTTCAAGGAGGAGAGGTCTATTTCAGGTCATGGTGTGAGTCCAGTCAAATCCAATCAGCTGTGTCCACGACAGAACTGACTTGGTGGAAGGGCGTGGTGGAGGAGAGCTGCTCAGCCCAGAGCAGCCTGGAAGCAGGGAGCAAAGGGAGGAGCCGGGGTCACCCCTTGGTGGCCACCTCCAGCCAGGCCTTCCACCCAGCAACACACTCAGCTAAGAACTCATCAGAGCACGGCACCCCCTGGTCCAGTGACCTCCAAGCATAGGAGACTTCTAGGTCGTCCCTGGTTTTGTATAATTTATGTGCTTATTTTAGTTTGTTTCCAGTCTCTGTGGTTCAACGCACTGAGTCAAGACCTTGTACTAACGGCAGTCTGATCTGTGGAGTGAATGCATGAAAGATATGTTTCCCGAGCAAAAGTGTTTTTCATCATTACTACTTAAGGAAGTATGTTTTTAAGTAACTCGGGTGCATGCTAATAGCCTTTTTATATCTTGTGGTCTTTGTTAAACCTGGCAATAGAAAAAGAAAATCACTAAAGCCGAACAACTGAAGCAGCTACAAGAGGAGGAGGAGAAGCGACTGAAAGAGGAAGGTACAAAATAAACAGTGGTTCTATTTTCATACACAAGGGAGACTAACGATAGGTGGGTATTTCTGTAATCCAATCAGTTTTTTTTTTTTTTTCAAAATTCATCAGTTTTTCTAATTTAAATTTACTTTATAGTGAATGCCCACCAGTCAGTGGGCACGGAGAAAGATCCGTTTGTACACACCAACCACATTTCCTGTGTCTTGAAGTAATATTGCCAAATAGAACACAGGAGCCCAGTTAAATTTGCATTTCAGATCAACATCGGTTAATCTCGGGTAATTTTCCCGATCAATATTTCGAACATACTTACACTCTTTGAAAAGCACATGGTCTATCTGAAGTTCAATTTGAACTGATCATCTGATTTTACTTTGCTAGTTCGGGTAGCCCTATCTTGCAGTATTTATATTTACTGATGAAATTAGGGACATTGGTGTTGATTGTGCAGTCAGAATTTTGAAACTGGAATTCATTCAAAATGGTTAATATACTTTAGCAAGAAACACAGGTAACAGTTTATGTTCTTGCAATTACAAGATGTTTTTGCCTAATTAAAATGCCGATCTCACTGGTGTGGTGGCACATGCCTGTAAGCCCAGCGCTTGGGAGGCTGATGCAGGAGGATCCCCATGATTGCCTGGGCTACATAATGATTTCAAGGCCAGCCTGGCCTGTAGAGGAAGACGCTATCTCAAAGAAAAAAAGTCAATTTCATTTATTTTTAAAAAATCAAGCAATTAAAAATTGATAAAAACATTGGTTAATTAAAACACCAAATGTGATTTTAAAATTCTGAGTATCCCTAAGGTGGTAACTTTTAACATTTAGAACATCATATTTAGATTCATATTCAGGTTTTTATGAGACTCAGGTTCTGTATCTATTTTTTAGTGTATAATCTTATAAATCCTTTTTTTAGATGACTTATGGTAAGAATAAAATCTCAGGACCTATATTTTAGGGACTGATTTATTACATTGGGGTAAACTTATATTCATCAATGGGTATTTTATATTGTTTTTAATAGAGCAAGAGAAAGTTAGGATGATTTCTTCTGATGTAGATGTCACACAGTTATGGATATCTTCTGAAGACTTCATCTCACCTTAATTCCCCATGATAGAGCTGTCATATTTTATGGACTGAGATCATTATTGAATTATTACAAACTTTTGGAGAAGAGATATATCATTGTGGAACCATTTGTTTTGGCTGTAAAGTTTGAAAATCATGTTATTCTTTTGAAGGAACAAAAGCTAGCACTTTTTTGATTTTTAGCACAAGACAAAATTATGACTTTGATAAGATATTCCAGCATGTCTTGAAAATATAAATAATCTTAAGGGCCTAAAAATATAGCTAGGTAATCACTGAGTTCATCTATTTACTTTTTAGTGATATGTGTATATATTATATGGCATCTTAATCATTTTTACTTCTCCTTCCCCTCTGTTTGGGTCTTTAGAGGAAGCCCGTTTGAAATCTGAGAAGGAAGAACAGGAAAGGCTTGAAAAACAGCGGATTGAGAAAGAAAAATGGCAACAACTTGAAAAAAAAGTAAATAAACCTTAGTACTGTTCTCCAGGATAACCCGGCTATCAGATGCATTGCCGCCCATGGTTCTCGGCTCATAACCACTGGTTGGATTTAGTCCCCTGCGGACTGGCCTGACCGGATCAAATGAGTAGCAGGATTCCCCAACCTCACAGATGAGGAACCTGAGGCAGAGAGAGAGTCAGCGATTAAGGAAGGGGCAGAGCCAGGACTGAGCTGGAAGCAGCCTCCGTTCACCGCACGGAAACAGGCGTGAATCTATTTTACATGCAGATTTCACGGGGACCAAAATTATTTTCAAAATATTCAAGTTCCACTCTTCTTTTTAGTTTTACTTCTCTCTCTCTCTTTTTTTTTTTCTTGCTAAATCAGTAGTTCTGAAATATTTTGGTCTCAGGGCAAAACTGCATTAAAATGTTAAAAATTAAAATCTCCCAAGGAGCTTTTGCTTATATGGATTACATCTATCAGTAGTCACCATATTAGAGAGTAAAGCTGATACTTTCTGGTTTTTGTTTTTTTGAGACAGGATCTCACTGTGTAGTGTTGGCTGGCCTTGAACTTGCAGTGATTCTCCTGCCTCAGCCTCCAGAGTGCTGGAATTACAGGCATGTGACCCCATGCCCAGCCTAGCTGATGCATTTTAAAGCACATATTAATATGCATTAAACATTGACTTTAAAAAAGTTTTACTAACCCTAAGCCAAAACATCAACATTTTGAAAGAAAATTACGTGTCTTTTAGAGAAATGAATAGCATTACTTATATTTTAAAACTCTCTTCACTACCTGACTTAACAAGAAAATTGGATTCTCCTGTCAGCTTCAGTAGTCCAGCTGTTGTAATGTGTTGTTTCTGTTGAAGCGTATGAAGAAAAATCTTGCTTCATTCAGATTTGCTGTTGTGGAAAAAAGGAGGGATATTTTAACAGCCTTTCAGATAATTGTGGACATTCTTGAATACTACACCAAAACTCAAATGGTAGTTTCTTTTTCTTTGAGACTGGATCTCCCTCCCTCCTCCCCTCCTCCTTTTGGGATTTTTGAGACAGGGTTTCACTGTGCAGTTCAGGCTGGCCTTGAACTCACTATATAGTCTAGGCTGGCCTGTAACTCACAGCAATCCTCCTGCCTCAGCCTCCCAAGTTTGGGGATTACATGTGTGCACCACCATGCCCAGTGAGATGAGACATGATGTTGTTCAGTCTGGCCTCTTACTCCTGGGCTCAAGCCATCTTTCCTCCGTCTCCAAGTAGCTACAGGTGCATCCCAGGGTGCTCAGATTAGCAAATGGCAGTTCCTTAATACGGAATCAGAAATTATATCAATGACCTGTTTAAATTCTGTTATATTAAGACAGTGCTCTGTATTGCATACCGACCTGATTTTATTTTCATGCCTGATTTTGCAGTTGCATACCTTGCTTGCTTGGAAAAATTTTATTCATTGAATTATTTACCTGTAAATGTTGATTTATATTGTTATTCACTATCAAAAAAGTCACAGATATTAACTTCTCCAATCAAATTACAAGTTTTTAAGGATTGAGAAACCATCAAACTCACAGTGCTAGATTTTTTTTTTTAAGTTTGAGTTTTTACTTGAAAGCTTAATTTTACCATTTGAAACAAATATTTTGAGCTGCATTCTTAAAGTAGCATGCTCAGTTCATTCAGTTTTGCAGGGATGTGGGCCAAAATAGTCAAATAATTGCACAAGGGTGCCGTTCTTCGAGACACTGTTGTCCTTTGATACGCAGAAGTGTTCCAGGTACGCTCCCTATTCTGCCACAATGGACAGTGAAAGGATATGTGCAGAACTTAGGGTTGAGTATTCATAAAATTATAATTTTTACCTCTTCCTCTGGTCACTGATATGTGAAACTGGCCCCTCCCCCTCGCTGTCCCAGACCCCAAGCCAGTGCAGGTTAGAGCTCCCGCCTTGACTACGCTAAGGCACAAAAGTTTTCCATCGTCTTGTGCAAATTAGTGCAAAATACATCCTGTGAAAAAGATAAATGATACCCTCATATTATTACAAAAACAGACTGCACTTCACAGATCTCAAAGGAGTTTGGGGGACCTACCAAAAGTCCTGCAATCACACTTTAGAAACCACTGTTTCAGATGAAATGTCTTAGAAATAGACTTTGTATTCAAACTGAGTATTCATTTCGAAGTTGTGTATTTAGTCAGATAAATTCTTGCTGCCGCCTGTGGAACATAAAACTGGAACATAAAAAACAGATCAGTCTGTCTATCCCTGTGAAATAGGATCTACAAAGGAGACCCGAAGAACTCGAGGAACTTTATTCTCTAGAGGAGTGTTTTCCTAAAGCAGAGAAATTGAAGCAAGATACTAGATCTCTTTCTCAGGTAAGACAAATTTCTTTCTTTGGGCCAGTCCTTCTGGGAAGAGGACGTTGTAGGCTGAGACCCATTTTGCTCCTGAGAAACTATATATTTATCCATCTCACCTGATAAATCTAGTGCCCATTGTAAAGTAAATTGATAAAACTTTGCAGATAGCTACTTGTCAGCCATAATATTTATATCCCTTGACTATGAGTTGTTGGGACTCTGCACAGGCAGAGCTTGTTTCATTGTCTATCATGTGATTGTGCTTTACTGATACTGCAGTTTTCACAAATTGTGGGATTGTGGACACCTCTGCCACGCAAATCTACAGGCACTGTCTTTTTCAACAGCATATGCTCCCTTTGTGTACCGTAATTCTCATAATATTTCAGACTTTTTCATTATTATTATATCCGTTAGGGCGATGTGTGATCAGTGACTACGGTAATCATTACTCTTACTATTGTAATCATTTGGAGCTGAACAAATCGTGCCCATCTTAGATGATGCACTGAATTGGTAAATGTGCGACCAATGGCTGAGCGGCCCATCTCTGCTGTGCCCCCGCCCCTCCCCCTTGGGCCTCCTTATTCCCGGACACACAGCAGTATTGAAATTAGGCCAGTTAAGAACCATGTCATGGCCTCTGAGTGCTCAAGAAAAAGAAGGATTTGTAGGGCCCTCATTTCAAATCAAATGCTAGAAACGCTCAAGCTTAGTGAGCATTATGGTTTGTGTTTAGATATCACCCTGAAGCCTTATGCGGCTCTGAAAAGTAAGCTTTTCAGAGGTGGCTGGATCTAGAGTATATGAATATCGATTAAAGGTGTGTGGTAATTAAATTAGCCTACGGATCGGTTTAGCACCATTCTGGGTGAGGATGATGGGAAGACCCCCCGGGTGTGGTTGGCACCAATCAATAGGCTTGTAGCCTAGATGGAATAAAAGAGGGGTGGTGACAAAGGAAGGCTGGTGCTCCCTCTTGGTCATGCCTGCTGCCCTGCTGCCCTGCTGCCCTGCTGCCCTGCTGCCCTGCTGCCCTGCCTTGGAGCTAGCTGACCAGGGACGGACACCTCTCCAGACTTGTGACCTGAAATCTAACTTTTCTCCTTTAACTTGTGAGTATCAGGTATTTTGTCTCAGCAGTGAGAAAGTAACTAAGAGAATGAGGAAGCTTTGTTCCAAGCTGGAAAGAGCTGAAAGCTATCTAAACCATCAAGCTAAGAATGCAAAGGAAAAGTTCTTTGGGTTTTGGGGGGGTTTTGTTTTGTTTTGTTTTGGATTTTGGTTTTTTGAGACAGTGTCTTGCTATGTAGTACCACGCTGGTCTTGAACTCACTTTATAGCCCAGACTGGCTTCAAGCTTGGATCAATCCTCCTGCCTCAGCCTCCTGAGTACTGGGATTACAGGTGTGCACCACCACACCAGCATAAGGGAAAAGTTTCAGAAGGAAATCACAAAAGTGCTACTCCAGTGAACACGGTAGTGAAAGAGCACAGCAACCTTGTTGCTGACATGTAGAAATTTTAGTGATTGCAACAGAAGACTAAACTAGCCACACCATTTCCTTAAGCCAAAGCCTAACCCAGAGCAAGTCTGTAACTCTTCAATTCTCTGGAGGCTGAGAACGGTGAGGCCATGAAGAAAAGTTTGAAGCTGGCAGAGGTTGGTTTATGAGCTCTGTCTTTATAATATAAAAGTGTGTTAATAAAACTCTTGGGAAGCCATGGATTGGGATGGGGACACTCGTGTCACCTCAGCAGACCAAGCCACTACAGTCTTATCACAGTAACTGAGCACTGGTTTGTTTTAGAAGAACCTCTAGATAATTAACTAAACAATTGCTTGGTTGCTGAAGCCAATGAAGTTGTTTTCTAGGATTTGGTTTCTTTTCTTTGTTTTGAGCCAGGGTCACACTATGCAGTTCAGTGTAGCTTTGAACTCACCATGTAGCCCAGGCTGGCCTCAAACTCTCGGGGACCCTCCTGCCTCAGCCTCCCATGTCCTGGGACTGCAGGCATGCAACCCCATGCCTGGCCTACATTTTCTTACAGGTATTTGCTGATACGTCATTGGTTTGAATTTTTGGAACATTCTCTGATCTTGGAAACAGTGAGATTCGTGGGTTATTTTGTTCTTTGCTCAGATAAATTCTGCTAGATCTAGTTGATCTAAGGAGCTGTCCCTTTGGCATAGTCACTTGGATCTGAAGTAGAGCTTCCCTGACTGAGGCTGGAAGCATTCCACACCAGGCTATCCCACCCGTAGAACAGGGTTGCAGGCTCACTGACTCCTTGTAGAGAAGAGTGAAGCCCAAGAAGGCTGCACAGTGGGCCAGGCTGTGAAGGGGCTTCCGGGGGGCTGCGGGTCCTGAGTGAGCGGGGGGTTCCAGCGCAGGTGCACCCTCCCCCGCGCCCCGCGTCCTTCTGTAATACCTGCTACAACCAGGTCAGCCCTGGGGAAGAAGCACTGCTGTGTACACCCCTCCTGGGCTGCCAGGCTGAGACTAGAGACGTGTCTCACCTGCCGGCCAGCAAATCTGTGGAATCTCTGAGTCTTTGAGCGACACTCCCATCAAAGAAAGGAAATGTTCAGGGCACATCTGTAAGAGGGTTGGGGTGGGTTTCTTAGGCAGACATTTTCGTACACACAGAGAAATAGAGTGCAGGACTGAGAAAGAGAGAAGAGGCTGCTGCAGTTTGGAACTGGAATATTGATGTGTTTCTGGTGTTGGAAATTTCTGGAATGTGTTAGTCTATAGTTTTGGTCTTGGTCAGGTAGGTGGGGGAAGATTTCAGGCGGTGGCCTAACTTACAGGTGAAAAGGTGGTCTGTGGTGGAAATCAAGTCGGGGGTCTCGGGTTGGTGGGTGGGGGAGGATGGCCACCCACAGTAAGATCTTCTTCAGGCTGTGGGTGGGGCCTAATCTTCAGGTGAAAAGGTGGTGTATTCACAGGTGAAAGATAACTGTTTGCAAGTAAAAAGGGAGTAGCTGAACCATTTGTAGGAGGAACAGAATTGCCCAGGCTTATTGTGTTCTAGGAGAAGAGAGAGAAAAAAGTAAATTGGACTTGTGTTTTTCTGTGTGTGTGTGTGTGTGTGTGTTGCTGGGGATCAAACCCACAGCCTTGTGCATGTAAAGCAAGAGCTCTACCACTGAGCCACATCCTCAACCCAGAGATTTGCTTTGAAAACTGCAGTTTTCATTTTTATTTTGTCTTTTTAAGACAGAGTCTCGCTATGTAGTTCAGGCTGACCTTGAGTTCATTGAAATCCTCCTGCCTCAGCCTCCTAGAGCTGGGATTACAGGTATACACCACTAGACCCAGCTCATTTCTAAATTATTTTTGTCTCCTTTTCTTTTGGCCTAGATTTTAATTCTCCCATACCTCAGTGCTGAAGGCTGGCTTGTGCTATGAGAGGATGTGGGTTGCTTGTTTGGGGTTCACAGAGGCTGCATGAGCCAGGCAGAAATGAGAGTGGTCTAGAGCTCTGCCATTTGGAACTCTAGCTAATTTCATGAGTAAGAACCCCCAGAATTTATATTTACTTTTAGAGAAATGGGTAAATCTGACTAAAAAATAAATTGGGATTACAGTGAAGAAGTTTTAATTCAGCTAGCACTGCTTGGTTGTAGGCAAAGTATATTACAAAAGAAAAGATTAAAAAGCTCATAGAAACAGTGGGATACACCTGTTTTACCTAGTGCCAGAGGCTTTTAAAAGACTAAATAAAGTGTGTGTGTGGGGGTGTTGTAGTTGAGCGATTAGATCAGTGGGCTGTGCCTTTTCTTTTCTTTTTCTTCTTTTTCTCCAGTACTGGGAATCGAACTCACGACCTTGCGCTTGCCAGGCAGGCACTGTGCCGCTGAGCTAAATCCCCAGCCCTGGGCTGTGCCTTTTAAACTACCTTTTTGCTTTGATAAAACACTCAAGCTTAGTGTGATGAACTGTCTCAGTCTACAGTGGAAAATGTTTGGTCTGCCCATGTGTTAATGGGTGCCACGCTGAATTCAGTAACTTATTTAAAAGAACAAAGACCGAGTTGTGGAGATGCCCATTTTTCCCTTGAGTAGGCCTTAGATTGTAACAAGGTCTGTGTGCTATGACGAAATTCCCTCTTCTTGAGAAGAGCTAATTTTCAGGAGATTGATAACAGCTAATTTCCTCTCTAGGCCCTGTTAAAGGGAGTCCTACACTGTAGTGACATATTTGGGGGTGGTATTTGTGAGACAGGAGATTAGGGTGCGGCAAAACTGGCTGGGAAAGTAGGTATGAGCTGTTAATTACAGAGTCCCAGGACACATGCACAGAGCAGTTCTCAGATCCCTGTGTGTGGACCTCTCTGGAGAACCTGAGCAGGTTTTTGATAGGCCAGCCTACTCCTGAGGTCAGCCTAAGGCCGGGGTGATACAAAAAGGACAGAACACACTGAGTTTCTGTCACTATTTCACTTTTGCATGGTGATCCCCCTCACACTGCAGGGGATACTTATTTTCCTACTTGGTCCAAACTCACTGTGCAGAGCCTGTTTCTTTTTCTACCTTTAATAAAACTTTGCTACCATTTGTGCTTGTGTTGAACAATTTTTGCTCAAGACAAAAAGAATCTAGAGACCAGAGACTCCAGCACCCCCAAACCCAGTAAGATTTGCTGCATAAGTCCAAACAAATCAGGTGAATATATAAGTGGGATGAAAGTTTGAGAAAGAACTTGTCATAGTGCCAGAAATCACCTTAGTGGCTTATCTTGGAGTCATGGTGGATTAAGTGGTAGGTGTGTATTGTGGTTTGGGGTTTACAAGGAGAAACAATCCAATACAGGACATATATTTTATAGAATTATTTTATAATAGTCACCCAAAGAATCATATGCAAAGACAGTGCAAGAAATCTGCCCACACACTACAGACCAAAGAATCCAGCTGAGGGCCTGGATCCCACGGCAGTGTCCTCCATGAGTCCAGCTGAAGACCTAGAGCCCATGACAATGCCCCCGACAAGTCCAGCTGGAGGCCTA